CGGTTTTGTGTAATCGATTCGCCGCACGAGGCTGTCGCGGACCATTTGCCTTATTATAACAGTCTTAGCGTTGATCATACAGCTCGATCGCTCTATTATTACCTTTGTCCACTGTTAGTTCTTTTGTTCCTGTATTGCTTACTTGCTGCTGCATTCTGCCACATTCCTTCGCGCGCAACGTTTCTCTCGCCGCGGCGCGACAATTTCGTTCCTACTGCACCACACCCGTCGAATCGATACGCATCCGAACTGCAATGCGTACTTGTGGAATCGCCCTAGAACCGATCTCCAATTCAGAATCAAAATATTACACATTGAACTATTGAGTGTGGTCGATTCAGCGAAAAAAGTAAGACCGCTAGAACGTAACTTGTCACATGGAAGAGGAGCGTTCCCTGTCAGACAGCCGACAAATTTTCAATCACGAGCCGAAAAACCCTTGATTGTGACGTGGTAAGGTGGAAGCATCATGGATGGCAAGTACTATACCACCGTAGTAAAACCTGCTTGCACGAAAACTCTACAAAAGGGATCGGGTTCACGTAAGACGGTAGCCATACGTCACAACCACGTCCGCGTAAGGAGACGCTAACAGCTGTCTTTCTAATTAATTTTTCACTACCGTAGCGAAGCATATTAGCCTCTCAATTAATAGGATGAAAGTTTTTTTCTTCACCAATCAAAATGAGCGGCTGTTGAATGCAGTAATGGTTTGGCCAACACGCAAAGCAACCCCTCTCATGTGATTTTTGGCCCGCTCTCAGATGTGACATTTTCGTACGAGTTTTATTGTTTCGTACAAGTTCACATCAAGTAACTTGAAACAGAGAGAAGCAGTAGGGCAAAAAACCGGTGTCTCCTAGGGGAACGTGATTGAGCCTATGTGCTGGAGTTCTATCGGGAATATAAATCAAGAAAAAACCAATTTGAACAATAAAATTGCCTGCTTTTCCCATTAATGGCCTCCCATATTGGAAATTGAAAGTCATCTCTTTGAATGGCCATCAGAGGGATTGCAATAGCGTTTTTCTCGAACTAGGGACAATAGTCCCAGTTGTTTAAGGAATTTCGTAGAAAAGTGTTAACTCTCTCCTCCTCAGCCTGCTTGGGAACGTTTCTAAATCGAGGAAATATTGTTTTTTTTTCAACCTGAGCCTCAAAAGGGAAGGAGCACGTGGGTGGGTGAACCAAGAATATATCCAGTTAGCACCCCCATCCCAATTTTTTGCCCGAGCTAATCATCTCACCCACTTAGAGTTCCTTCCCTCTTGAAGCTTAGGTAAAAAGGAATATTCCCTTGGCTGATAACCGTCTTTAGGCAGAATTAAGGTCGGCACCCCTCCTCCGCGCTCTAGAGCTAGAGTGTTGGATAACAGCGATGCCCCCACCATGAAGTACCTCCAAGCAGTTACCTTAATACCTTTTGACCGGTATGTCAGTATGCAAGATGTCGATGACCTTTTCAGCGATGTGACACAGGACTATATCAATCGACTGCGAAAAAAGTCGTGCGGCCATCGTCGCCAAAACTCCGAGTTTGACCGCAAACGAGTACAAACAGGTAACGGGCTACTGTTATTGTTATCGGGTCATGAATACTTTGCAAGATACAAACTGCATCAACAGGTTTTTGAAAATACATAGTGCCAAGTTGATCTCTTTTTTGTTGCTTAATAGCTGATTTACGAACAAGAATGAAAGGAGCGGTAGAGGGTTAACATGTGCCGTTTGATGTATGATAAATGTTGAATCAAAGTGAAGTTTTGGGTTATAAAATTTTATTTTCGTGAACGAATAAATATTATTTATAGTGCGGCTAACCATGACCATCATTGCCACCAATTTCTTCCTATGGATGCCATTTTGTCTAGTAAACATGATCCAAGCATTCAAACCAGGTGCACTGAGTGAGTTCAATTTTCTCAGAGACGATCATCGCTCTGTATTTTGGAAATGAAGTAGAAGGAGGAAAATTCTGTGTCGTTTTCAGGTCCAACGCTAAGTATCTACGTGATGATCCTCGGAAATCTCAATTCCTGTGTTAATCCTTGGGTATACATCTTATTCAATCGTTCCCAAGCTGTCAAAGCACTGTGTGGACGGCGAGCGATGGGTCAGTCGGAGGGTCCGTTTTCATCAATTCATCATCGTGCTTCATTTCATCTTATCAGTTCAGGTTATTCCACACATCGGAGTGAAACCGACATGCTATCCTCCAGTCGACGATCAGAGTTCAAGTTTTCCGTTGGCAATTCACTAGCGCCCCTTACGCCCGACGACATAAGAGTACTTTCATTAAATATATTTATTATATAATATTTACCTGCTCACCAACCTTCCATTTACCTTATTTGTCAACAATCATTTAGGTACACCGTAACGTTTCGTTCCAAGAGCCAGTCAGCCAACGCATGTACCAGGAGCCCTCAAGCCGAACGGATTTGCCACAACGTAAACGCGCTCCATCATCACTCTACTCCAAGCGAAGCACAGCCTTCATCAACGAGAAGTCATCAACATCAAATGGTTACCATATTGTACTGTCAACTGACTCCACACCCTCACCGTCACCCCCCGAACTTGTTGCCAACCCTCAGCAACGGGACCCTTTCAACATGAGAAATCATACGAAGAAAAACGACCTTAAATAATCGATTCTCGCCCCCACGTATGCTATGTGCATTTGTGAATCTCTATTGCGTTATCGGGTTGTATTTCGTTGTGTATTATTGTATGATGACGATTCCATGAGGATGAGGTTTAGGCCTCATTCTGAGCTCTGAACATATCTAGCTGTCTCCGTGCGTCATGTCAAATTCATACACATTAATATATGAAACATTGATGAATGCATCGCAACAAATTGGTTTCATCTAATGAATTCATGAAAACTATTCTGAAGACTATAGGACTACCGTTACATAGCGATCAAGTGCGGAGAGTTCACTAAAGAGGGCAAGGAAAACTTCCATGGGACATTTTTCCGTATTTTTGCATGGCCTTCTGGACCTTTCTTCTTGCCCGCACTATTTCCAGACATATCTTCTGCACTTTTTCACTTTTTTTACTCCGGTCATACAACTGGGCCTAACCGTTTATCCTATGAACCTTAAAACGACTATTGTGCGTTAGTGGCTCGTGAATCAAGGGATTCTGAACCATCCAGAAAGTATAGATGGTCCATTTTTTTTCAATTACTCGAGGCAGATACTTGAGTATCAGGGCTTTGCTAGCAGTTTTTCTCTAATGGGAAAGCTTCAGCTCTGGACCTAGTTTCCTCGACATCCAGCCAAAGCATTCCTCGAAGAAGTCAAAACTGATCATTAATGAAAACTTGGGAGATAGAAGGCCATGCACACTGCCTTGATTGAAGGCAAAGTTACGATAGTTTCGGGTTATCTATAATAGTTTTGAACGATTAATGGAAGTGATGGACCGGGACCGTGCAAAACAGGCGAAGAAAGCAGAAAACGTCGTACTGAAGAGAAATATAAGGGTTCAAAAGAGTTGGTGAATCAGTGGTTGGACGAGAATGCGGCGACAGAAGCTGCAGTAGAAGAGCACTTAATCGAATGGTTCGAACGCAGGTCTCTATCTTGCCTAGGAACCGAGATATGACCGATTTTATTTTTTTTCACAAGTTGAAAACGTTCCCCCACATGAAAATTTCCGAAAAACTCGATCTCTCGGCGTTTTCCATCCTTGTTGGAACCATTCGATTCAGCGCCAGCAAAAAACAAATCTCAGATGCCAAACTTTTTGAAGCAGGAAAATGTAAGCCGTACAATCGACAAAACCATCTCAGGAGGCGATCCCTTCATATCACTCCTAGTAACCTGCTACAGTACCACTTGGCCATGCCTCCACATTACCTGCCATCTCAGTCTTCTACACATACTAAGAAATGTAGTCTCACGTAGGAATCTGACCCCAATGTCAAGCTTTCCGGCACTGGGCAAATATTTTTTTATAAAATTGGAAACTCGGGGGTCCCCGCAGGGCAGAGCCATCCGCGAAGGAATGTGCAAAACTGTTCCGCGTTATTAGCTCTTTCTCACGAAGCCGTCTAGGAAGAATAGGGCATAGCTCTTGAGAAGCTTTAGGCGAAGCTGGGTTAGCTTCTCCCCTGTGGACGTGGCCTCGGCTCATGGGCAGAGTGCAGTATATGGAGTGTGGACTCGGCCGTTGAGCCGAGGTCTCCGCTTCACGCAGCCAAGACCAGCACCGTACATGTAAGTGCTCTTACTGGTAGGACTCATTCAGTGAGAGGAAACAGACACAAGAGTAAGTTGNGCTCTTGAGAAGCTTTAGGCGAAGCTGGGTTAGCTTCTCCCCTGTGGACGTGGCCTCGGCTCATCGGCAGAGTGCAGTATATGGAGTGTGGACTCGGCCGTTGAGCCGAGGTCTCCGCTTCACGCAGCCAAGATCAGCACCGTACATGTAAGTGTTCTTACTGGTAGGACTCATTCAGTGAGAGGAAACAGACACAAGAGTAAGTTGCTCCAGGGGTATGAGCTTGAGCCCATGATGTGTGACGATGTGACCCATGAACTTGAACCAGCTTGGTTGTGTTGCAATAGCGCAGCCGATAACCATCTTGGTTTGTGCCCGCGAGTCCGGTGGTTCTACTCACTGGAGGCTGGAACGAGTGGCGCACATTTTTCTTCAAGCATTCCAGCGGATTGACAATGCAATCTTCCTAACCATACGCTCGCGCAATGAGGAAGAGTTTAGCAAAGGACGAGCCCACAAAGGAATCGAACTCCTCACCTTTCAAACGAAGGACAAAGCACTAATCCACCGCACTACCGATGCAACTGAGCAATTTGATAATGGAAATATTCGATATTGGGAATAGAATAAATGCGGAAAAGCATGCTATCTAACGATCGAATCGAAGATTTTTCGAACGGTGAAGGAAAATTTATTAGTTATACTAGGTATTTAGGGTTTTTAGAATTTATTAGATATTTATTATATAGGTATTTAGAACATGGCCTCAATGACTTGCTCTGTCGTATCACCTATCACCTGCCGTCCCGTTGCTCATCGATTTCGCCAGTAACGCTCTGTCGTACAGGTTGGTTATAGTAGTTATAGTCCTGTCAGAAGGGTTAACCGAATGAAGCGGTTCTACCATAACAACATGTACAGCAGAGCAGTATAAGGCATTGTCTTGTGTTACTTACTCGTTGTTATATTTTCATTTAGCTTTCCCTTGCTTTCCATAAGGTTTTTGCAGTGTGTTCTTGAAGTGTACTCAATAGATCCAAGCTGTTTTCATGGAGTACTTTGTGTTGTGCTTTTTAAGAGTACTGAAGAACTGGTTCTGTGGTGCCAATCTACGACTACTTTTTCTTTAGCAGTCAATTCTCTAAGAAGTTCATTCTCGGTGAAAATGTTGGTTAGAGAGAGGGGGGGACAATCTTCATCCCCAGCCATAAGCGTTAGAGTGCAGAGATTAAGGGGAGAAGGTTTGCGGAGCCGTAATGATGTGGTTCTGTATCTAAGCCTCAGGAAGAGACTGTCACCAAAAATTGTATGCCTCTTGCTAGCACTCCCGTTTTGTGAATAGAAATGAATCACGAGTTCTGTAGTCCTCTTCTCCTGAACATACAATTGGGTAAAGAACTTTCGCCCTTGGCTAAGAAGCATTCCTACTGGTAAGCACCGTTACAGTCCCGAAGCCGGCTATTCCTCCTCTTCCGCGGTCTAGCGCCTAGTGCTGAAAAATGAGGGTAGTCACCCTC